TAAAACTACTTAATATTGCATTGTAAAATTTTACAAACTAAATTTAAAATTCTTTTTCCTATAATATAAAAGTAAAAACAGTGATGATGAATTATATAATTATTCACAATAAAGTAAGTAATTAGAAAAGATTAGCATGAACATACAACCTGTTCTGTACATTGTGATCATTCAATTCATATTATAATTGAATTTTATGATTTATTCCTGCATACGACTACGTACCATATTTCGCATTCTATTTTTATAAATTTTATCGTTATAGAGAAAGCCTAAAATCCCTCTACCTCCATGGAGACACATTTAGCCAGCCTAAAATAAATAAACCATTTTCCAATGTAAAATCATTTTTCATAAACAAATGTGAACAAACTAAACGTATTTTTTTTTGTAACATAAGAGTAAAAACAGTCATGATGAATTATATAATTATTCACAATAAAGTTGTAATTAGAAAAGGTTAACATAGCCGAAACTACAACCTATACTGTACATTGTGATTATTCTATCATAAATTGAATTTTATGATTTATTCCTGCATACTTTATTATTTCGTATTTTACTTTTATAAATTTTATCGTTTTAGAGAAAGAATTATATAATAATATAATTATTCAGAATAATGTATGCTGATAGAAAATGTTCATTTTAAGAAAAGTGTACATTGTAATCATACATTTAATTTTATGATTTGTTTCTCTATACTTTCGTGTTTGAAGAAAAAAGCACAAAAGTAATACTAATTACTTTTTTTTTTACATGGTTCGTAACAGCAGAGGTCATATAAACCCTCAGGGTGCCGGTGGTTTTGAAAAAAAAGCCTATTTGTAAGTATGTTGGGTTCGAATGCAAAGCCGCTGGATTCGAACCCGGGACCTTTACCTTACAGTGATGAGCGCCGTGTCAACGCCTAAACCGTTGCGGTCACCAACGCCCCACTAATTAATATTGCAATGTAAAATTTTACCAACTAAATGTAAAATTGTTTTTTCTGCAATATAAGAGTAACAGCACTCAATGAATTATATAATTATTCACAATAATGTATGTAATTAGGAAAAAATATCATAGAGAAAACTACAACCTATAGTGTACTACCTATGATAAATTGAATTTTCCAATTTGTTCTTTCACACGTTCGTGTTTGATTTCTCACATTGCTGTCCAATATTTTACTCTTTCTTTAATAAAATATGCAATATTAAAAAAATGTTACATACCTCTCAACTTCGTACTGTATTTCGTATTTTTCTTTTATAAACTTTATCGTTTTAGAGACAGCCTAAAATCCCTCAACCTCCATGGAGACACAATTAGGTTACTCCGACGTGGGTTCCCGGACATGATGTTATAGAAGAAAATGAAAAACCGATCGCCTCGTTAAAGAGGGGGACTAAAGGGGCTTTAAGGGACTTTCCTTTATGAGGAAGAGAGCATTTTTGCATAATCCCTTAAGTTATTTTTCTGAAAGAAAAGTCTAAAAAAAATTGGAAAATATCTCGGCCGGGAGCACACAAATGTTTCTTAAGCAGGAGTATAAAACTCTTGACAGTATTTTCAGTCTTATGATGTTGGCCGGCATTAAGCTCTAATATGATGATAAAAATAAAAACTTGCAACGTTTAGTCTAGATTAGGAACTTCTTTAGGCAACCCTGGCGTGAGTGACACGGCAGAGTCTAACAAAAGAAACTCTCCTTGCGAAAAATGAGTGTGGTTTAGAGGTTGTGGGTGTTTTATAAGCATCGTCAACACAAAAGGACGACGAGAGAGCAACATCTACAACCTCGGTTGCATTAGCTAAGGATGTGCTTAACCGTGCTTACATGGATTAACACATTCAGGAACTTCGATTTCCTCCGAGGACTTCACAAGACATTATTCCTCTCGATCTAAACACAAACAATACCCATTAACACCGCCTGCTGAGCGCAAATTGCGTGAAATGCATGTAACACACTTGTAATCTATCGATTGATTTTTTTAAATTTTAATTTTCAACTAAAAAAATATAAATTTTAATAATAATTTTTATCTTGAACTGATAGACACTTGTTACAACCAACAACCAACACCCACTTTGACTATTTTTATTGTTAGGTTTATTTTGGGGTCTGCGAGGTTATGAACCGGTAGTTCGGTTGTTTCCAACCATTTTGAGCTGCCTACACCCTGTTTCGGTCTGCCATACGCATTTCGGCTTCTGTACTTGGTTTGAGCTTCCAAAAGTTCACACCAGTACTGCGTTTTTTTGTAAGGTTGCTCCTTGTAGTCTGCGGGTTGAAGAACCTGTAATTTGGTCGTTAACGATAATTTTGGTCTATCTATCCTCATTGTTTTGGTCTGTTAGAAGCATTTCAGCTTCTCGCTTATCTTCTGTAGTTGGTTTGTGCTTCCAAAAGTTCACTCCAGTACTGCATTTTTTTGTAAGGTTGCTCCTTGTAGTCTGCGGGTTGAAGAACCTGTAATTTGGTCGTTACCCATAATTTTGGTCTATCTATCCTCATTGTTTTGGTCTGTTAGAAGCATTTCAGCTTCTCGCCCATCTTCTGTGGTTGGTTTATGCCTAATAAAACTGTTTATCAGTTTGGTAATGTACAATTGAGAGTTGTATTCTTGTCTTTTTTTTTATTGCCAGTGGTGTTGCTTGTTTATCAGTCCTATTTTTTTTTTGGGGGGGGGGGGGTTAAGTCAGTTCCAAAGTTGTAGATTTTGTGAGAATGCCTCTTTTGTCTGTGGAGTAAAGAACCTGTAATTTCGTCGTTGCCGATTATTTTATTACATATATCCTAATAAAGGTAATTAGTGATAGGTCCTGTGTATTATTTTCTACTCGTAACTTGTCCGTTTTTCGTTGTTAATCCCAGTTTTTATTGGTTTAGTATGGTTTTTTTTTTACTTGTCTTGTTTTATAGACGATGTTGTTGTTTGCACTCCAGTGCTGGACTTTTGGTTTTGCGTGGATGGTTTAGACTCTGTGGTCTGCCTGTCCTTGCTAGTTGGTCTGTCAGACGCGTTTAGGCATTTCGCCAAGTTCAGCCTCGCTTTGGTCATAGCTATAAGAAGAGCATAGCACCAGCACACACACAGTGATATTCCATTTTGTGATTAATGTCTATTATCGCCGGCATATCATCTCCTTATCTGAATATGTTTGAAACGTCCATTTTTATGGAGAAGAGGCTTTCTCCCGAATTGTCGTAAAAAATGTTAATTTGGCTAAAGTTTGTATTGACAATAGTCAATACCTAGTCTCTTTCAGTATGCTTATATTTGAAAGTTTATTATTTTGATTTCAGTGTGATTAAAATTATCTGTTGTCATGTTAAAAAGCGCCCACCTAACGATGAAGATCGGTGGAGCTGGAACTTCTGACAGACCAAAACAGCAATGATAGGTAAATCAAAATGACCAAACTACGACTTTTTAAGTATGGGGGTTCACAATAACAAAGGTCATATCAACCCCCTGGGGTGCGGGTGGTTTTGAAAAAAAAAGCCTATTTTAACTATGTCCAGCGGTCTGAATTCGATCCTGGGATTTTTGAACAATTATTATTACATACTTTACAATTGAAATTAGTAATGATGTTAAGAGATATTCTTAAATTATAATGTCTTATCAGCAGGAATGATACTATATCAATAAAATTAATCTAATTTGATTTGTTACATTGAAAACATTGTTGTGACATTTAATTCAGTAGAAAACCGCAGAACCATTTTTGGTTAATAAAATAAAATAATCGAATAGAATTGTGGTTTTTGTTTCGTAACAGACCTACGATTATTATGTCGTAAAGTCTTCATCCATGGCAAAAACTATTTTTATCGTATCTTAAACATAATAGTATAAATAAAAATGTAGTCGTACGTTTTGCCTATTATCAGTCAAAAAACATTCATTGAAGTCTTACGGCATAAACCAGTCTGATAATGGACAAAAGTGGGACTAGGCGGATCCAGAGATAAAAAAGGGGGTCATCGGCTCAAAGATTAGCAAGCGAAAGTTCATAATTTTAATGTGTACAGTGAGAACAGAATAGCTCGGGATTTCGGAGAGAAATAACCTTACATATTTAAAGATCGCATATTTATGTTTGCAGTTTTGTGCACAAGAATCTCTTTGTATATATTTAGTAAAATACAAGGTTAGTCGTTTCCGGTTATCTCTGTTTTGACTAGTCAGACGCGTTTTGGATATTCGAACATAACGATGGTTCCCTAAATAGCTATCATCAAAAAATAAATACCTCAAACTCATCGATAGATAGTTTATTGTGCAGGGTCAATGGTATGATTATATTAATGATAGCGTGGGCATTTGTTGTCTTCTAAACAAACTTGATGTAATTAGTTGTTAGATTTGCTGATGCCTGTTTTAGACCTGCATGTTGTGCAGAAAGCTTGTATGATTTAGTTATTATTGATTTATTTGTACTCTGGTATCAAAACAGCAAGGAGTTAGTTATCAGCACTTCCTTCCACTATTTTAGTAATAAGTGGTTTACAATTCCTCCAAGATTCATGCGCTTTAGTCAACTCGATGAAGCTTATGAGGACTCTGGAGGAATTTTCTCCGAATAACAATAATTAATTAACATTTGTAAAAATAGATATTATTTTGTGAGATCTGGGCGTCTGCGGCATGATGACTTGTGGTCAGGTCGTTCCGATCATTTTGCTCAGTCTATTCCAGCTGTTTTGATCGATCAGTTATATTTCGGCTTTTGACCATTTTCGATAGTTTGGGCATTATTTTGAAACAAACAATTGAGTTAAATTCACTTTAAACGTTAACAATATCTTATCCGCCCCGGAGGACCAAATGAACTTAAGCTTATTATCCTGTCTATTAACCTTGGCCAAAATGATCTGAAATTTACTAGCTTAAGAAGAAATCTCGCAAATATTGTCTTTGATTATGAATGCCTTTTTTTGATCTTGTTGTTGTTTATTTTTTATGTAATATGTGCGTGATAAATGGCAATTTTTTTTCCAGGTGTGCATTCCTAAGCGTTGTTTCTTCCGTATCCGTAAGTAACTATTGTACAACCGTCATCCAGTTAAACGCCTACTTCTAAGAATTCCCTTGTGATTTTCTAAAACGGTAGACGTTTATTTCCCTCGCCACTTTTCCTCCATCGGTTATAATCCACCGTAGCAAATCTCAAGGAGCATTTTTGTAATCACTCCTGCCCTAGAAATACTGACATAGAAGTTAAATTGATGCAATTCAGTTTGCTTTTCCCAAGCTTGGTACCGTTATCCCCTCATCCATCTTGTGAACCCTGGATAACTCGAATTCGTTTAACATTTGCTGTAGTTTTAGGACTTTAGTAAGATTGTGTATAAAAGACATGTTACATGAAAGTTATGTTTAGTTTAGGAAACCAAACCAACAATTTAGATTAATTTCTATTCATAGTATTACGCCATAAAACTAGCAACCTCCCTACGGTAGAAAGGCGAGCAAGTTGGGAATTTTCAGTAAACAAGAATTAAATTGGTTTACCCACCCAGAATCGATGCCTAAGAATTCCCATTGTTGAATCCTCTCAAGGATCATCTCAGGTCGTCCACATTTTCTCGTTAAGTGGGAAGAGAAAAGACGAAAAAATTCTTCGTGTCGTTCACAGGCCTAAATCGATGCCCAATTAAAAGCCTCTGGAATAGCGGGTGTTTTGAAGAATAGAAAGACATTCCGGGTCAAACGGTCATGAGAGCGTTTAGGCCATGAAATTATACCCGATTCTGAAAAAAAAACCCCTCTAATTCTACACCATTTTTCTTCTGTGGGAAAACGGGGCAAATGGAGCAAAACCCTTTCTTAGGGAATAAAATAAGGTTTTTCCAACAAAAAATGTTTCTTGGTTTAAAACAATAAAACAATTAAAATTTTAAAATGAGATACTTTGTATTTTATTTAATTGACTTTATCGTATTTATGTTTTCTCTTAAACAAAAGCTATTGAGAGGCGTTTATTACATCATCGTCATCTTTATACAGGGTGAATTGCTACTCGTGCTACAAACTTCTCCAGTAGATTCTTCACCCTAAAATGAACAAAAAAGTTCATATTGTCCATGGTCCGATTCTCAACCATTTCAGAGTAATTTCGCTTTTTATCGATTTTGAAAGATATCACGTCCTGGCGTCGGAAAATCGTGATATCTTTTAATCTAAACATTTCTCT